GTCTCCCTTCACCCACTTTTCTGTTGTCCATCCCCTAGGGAGGAGGTCACATATAGTTCCTTGTAATCGGTTCCCTCTTTCCAACCCACTCTCTTCTACCCTCCCAGTATCGCCTCTCACACCACTGGTCCTGAAGGGATCATTCGCCCTAGATTCCCTGTATTTCCAGTTCCTATCTGTACCAGTGTAATCGGTTCCCTCTTTCCAACCCACTCTCTTCTACCCTCCCAGTATCGCCTCTCACACCACTGGTCCTGCAGGGCTCATCCGCCCTGGATTCCCTGGATTTCCAGTTCCTATCTGTACCAGAGTACATCCTCTGGTTTAGCCAGACTTGCAAGGTAGAATATGGGCGTAGACAGGCGGTATGCCTGGTGGGTTTGAACTACTGACCTTCTGATTAGCAGTTGAGTTCATGGCTCATTACACTAGCAGGGTAACTTACATTCTTATGCTTTCTTTAATTTTATATGTGTCTGATCTGATAGCTGAAAACTTTTTTTGTTTTGAAAATTTTATATAGCTGATTCTGCATTTTATTTTCTCCTGGATCTCACTTGAGATTTATTTTCCTTGTGTATAATCTATTTAATTTCATCTTATTCTGTAGAAATCTTAGAGGCCTGAATTGAATTTAAGAATCATGAAATTCTTCATAAATTTCCATTTAATTATGTATGTTTTCCTTTTTAATTTAAAATCTCTAATTGAGGATTTTTTTTTAAATTTTAAGAATATACAAAACATGAGTTTTACTGGCTCCTGGTTATAAACTCTGAAGGAAGTTTGTTTTTCCTCTTCCTTACCAGAACTCAGAGGGGCAAATTTCCTTGCGTCCTCTTCACTGTGGTCAGTGTATTGCTTCTTGACGTTGCCGTGGAAAGCTCTCCCTGAGCCTCTCCCTCTTGGGCAGCCTCTAGACTTTATTTCTATACTTTATACCTCCTGCAGGCATCAAAGCAAATCTGTGTTTGCTTGGGTTTGCCAGAAACTTTCCAGACAACAGCCAGCTTTGAAATGTACTTCTTTCTGAGGGTCCCTACTTTCATTCCTTTGTTAATCTCTGGGCTCTTCAGTATGTCTTTTACAAGATCTGTTCATATTTTATCCACCCTTTTTGCTACTTCATCAACAGGATTACTCAAGGTATCTAATTTGCCAAAAATATATCATTGGTAGATTAATTTTTTTGCTTTGTTATTTAATCTTTTCTATAATTTTAGTGTATTAATTTCCTTTTTTCCTGTTACCTCCTTTTAAAAATCTCAGCATTGATATGCAAGGGCAATTTTAGTACCTCTGGTGATCGTTATGTACTTTTTAATATTAATATGTGTCAGCTTTCCAAATAAGGTATGTTGTTTTGTTTTTATAGAAAGATATATCTTGTTTATCCAAATGAAAGAAAAATAATATTAGGTTTGTTCCACATCTAATATTATCAAGTTTGTAGTTTATTGTGATGCTGGTCGCCCACATTTACACCTTGCCAAATAAAATGTTTATCACTTCTATAACTATAAAATGTAATTCAACTCTTGTTGTCTTCATGAAGCTTAAATTATTTAAAGACTTTCCCCAATCTTTTTGTAGACCCCCATACTTTCCAAACACGATGTCCTTCATTTCTTACATGTACAATTTAGCATTGACTACATTCTTCAAGTTGGACAATTGTTCCGATTCCACATTTTCAAATTGTCCAAACCCCCCAGTAAGATAAATGCACTACACCATAGGTACCAGTTTAATCTTTTGAGTTCTTTTCAATTTGATCCCACTTAGGTAGGTAGCTCTTAAAGAGACACAGGACTCAAGGAAGTCTTCCTTAAAGCTGTAGAATTGCTTGGCTTACAGAAGAGCATATTTTTGGTGTTAGGATTCAGGCTTAGGGGCAATCTCAGGATAGTAGTTTGGGGTGGTGGTGGTGGTGACCATTTAACCTCAGTGGCCTCAGAAATCCTCAATTCCAGGAGGATTGAGAATTCTGATTTGCATTTTACCTCTTTTGATCAGGATTCTTGTGTCAATTCTTTGATCAAAATGTTTGTGGCTATTGTAGCTGCTGTTAAGGCTCCAGTGGTCAAGCACTGTGGAAGGGACCAATTTGCATTGATGCTTTGGAGTCTTAACATTGTTGTTGCTAGTTGTTGATTCTGACTCAGAGACCCTACAAACAAAAGAACAAAATACTACCCAGCCCTGTGCCACCTTTGCAATCATTTTTATATTTGAGCCCATTGTTAGAACCACTGTGTCCCTCTCCATAAGGCTGTTTCTCTTTTTTTGCTGACCCTCTAGTTTACCAAGCTTGTTGTTCTCCCTTGGTAACTCTCCATAGTATGTGAAGCAAAGTCTCACTGTTCTCACGTGTAAAGAGCATTCTTGTGTACTTCTTCCAAGACAGATTTGTTTATATTCTGGCAGTGCATGATCTAGTTAATATTCTTCACCAATTCATAAGGTATCGATTCTTCAGTCTTCCTTATTCATTGCTTTCACATGCATATGACGTGATTGAACATTTCATGGTTTGGGTGAGGCATCCCTTAGTGCTCAAAGTGACATCTTTTCTCCTTAACACTTTAAAGAAGTCTTTTGTAGAAAATTTGCCTAGTGCAATATGGCTTTGACTTAACTGCTGCTTCTGTGGACATTAATTTCCGAAGTAAGTAAAATAAATCCCTTTCAACTGTTATCACCATTTATCATGATATTCCTTATTGGTCTAGTTTTGAGGATTGTTGTTTTCTGTGTGTGAGAGATGTGATTTGTATCGAAGGCTATTCTTTGAACTTTCTTAATAAGTGCTTTAAGTCCACTTCACTTTCAGCAGGCAAGATTGTGCTATCTGTATGTGCAAGGTTGCTTAATGACTCTTCCTCCAACCCTGATGCAGTGTTATCCCACTTTTAGTTCAGTGTCTTGCTTCTTGATTCAGCCTATAGGATACAACCCTGATGACACAGCTTTCCTGATTTTAAACCCTGCATAGTATGGTATCTTAGATGCTCAGGAATTCATCTAATAAGTTCTTCGTTTAAGGAATGAGAAAGGAATGTACGAAATTATTATAGGAGGCTTCTAAAAGACTTTTCCCCCCCAGACCCACATTCTTCTTTGGGGATGCACTTTCTAATGAGGCAGAAAGGAAAATACGTTTCCTCATTTTCAGCTTGTCTTAAATTATGATTAGTACCTGTTCGCTCCTTACTCACATGTGAGCACATAATCATCTGCACTTGTGTATTAATGTATTAATGTCATAGCTTTTCTTCTCAGTGAAGTGTATCCTACTGCCATCTTTCGGTGTCTTTGGGGAGTTTTTCAAATTTTTAGATGTTAACTTGTTCTAAGGATAAAAAGTGAGTTTTTATTCTGATTTTTATGTCAGCAGTGCATTGAACACTGTCTTCTACCTTATAAGTGCTCAACTCGAAGGCAGTGAGTTTTTGGTCTTCTTGATTAAATAATCATATAGAGAATTATTTGGGGGCAACAGCCTTATCATATTAA